TTGCAAATTTATGCATTTTGAAAATTCTTTTAAACGTCACTTTGAGAGGGGGCCCAAACTTCGTTAGGCTGACAAATGGCTCCGCGACTCAGAAAGAGTGAACCCCGGACCCAAGGCAGCTGGTGTTAGGTACGAGGAGGGGCTCCACTGGAGGCCCCGGACACAGGTTCTAATCCCAAGAACTGCTGGAGCTTTTTACTGTCACTTCCTCTCTCTTAAAGTAGGAGCCAACCAGGGCGCACGCACATCCTGTGTCTCCTGAGCATGGGTGCCCATCGGCTCGTGCGGCCCCTCCTACTCACGGGAGTTCAAGTACGGTCGCCGTGAGGACAGCCGGCAGAGCGAGACCTGCTCTGCGGTTCCGCGGCCCGTGTGCTGGGGGAGGTAATGCCGGGCGGGCACACTTGCCCCGTCCCTGCACCGGGGCAAGTGGGCTGGACGGGCTGGGGACGTTTTCCCAGTCACCCGACGATACCTGGATTTGACTGTCCCCCCAGCTGCAGACCTCACTGTTCTTGCGGAAGACCTTGTGCTGTGTTCGTGTCAACGCTGGGAACTCAGCAATGCAAGCTCCCGTCCCTGACGCCCCCGCCCCTGGGCCAGTGGGGAACAACCCCCACGGCGGCGTCAGTGGGGGGACAGCCGGCAAACACCATGCAGGCCCTGGGGTCCGGCTCACCTGGGTGGGGCTGTCTGTGCCAGGTGCCCCGAGAAAGGCAGCTTTTCTAAGATCTGTTTCCCCTCCCAAGGAGGAAGGCAGATGCCTTTCACTGTGAGGTCTGCACAGAACCGTGCAGGAAACGCTGGAACACGATGGGCCACCGCGCCGCTCCCTCCACCCAGAGCCATGGCGGCCCCCCCCACCACCCCGGCCCAGAGCCCCCGTTTCAGGGGCTGGAGCCTCTTCTGTTCTGGGGATGCTGACCGGCCTCCTCCCAGGCACACTCCCTTCCTTCCCTCGCAAGACTGGCTACACGGTCTGCAGGGCCTGGTGCGAGACGGACACGCAGGCCCCCTCGTTCACACGCGAAGAACTTCAAGGCCCCGGCTGGGTCGCTTGCTGAGTTGGCTGGGGCGTCTTCCCAACACACCGAGGTGGTGGGTGTGATATCCGGTCAAGGCACCTACAACAGGCAACCAGTGAAAGCACCGATGGGTGGAACTCTCTCCCCCTTCTCTCTCTCTTTTAAAGTCAATACGTAGAAAAGGATGATGTTCAGGACAGCAGCAGCAGCAGAGCGCGCCGGCACGGGCAGAGCCCTTTGTGGCAGCGCAGGTGACAGGCCCGTGAAGACAGCCCTGCTCCCTCGACTGAAGCAGCCGCTCCCACCTGGGTGCCCGCCGGGATCACCTGCAAAACTCAGGGAAGTACGGATGCCCAGGCCTCTCCCCGCAGCGGGAGAGTCCAAACAGCTAAGAGCTTTGCAGGTGACTGTAGCCAGTAACCACAGTTGAGACCCCGGGGACTTGGGCGACAAAAACCCTTGGAAGACCGCCATGGGCCAGTGTCCAGGGGGAGACAGGTGGCCCCGGGGAAGCCCTGACAGAATAGAAATGCTTGTGGAAGGCACACCCCGGCTGCTCGGGGCCTGTCCCGGGTGTTTCTCGGAAAAGCCACACCCAACCTTCGAGGGCATCCCTGCTCCGAGGCGCCCAGTGTCGTCACTCCGGAGCAACTACTTCCCAGCACCCTTTGCTGCAGCGAAGCCCCATGACCAGCCGGGGGGCCGGGGACGGTGAGCAGTTTAGAGTCAGCTTCCCGGTAGTGATAAGAGGCAGGGTGCGTGGCCACCTTCTCCCCAGGCTGGAGCTCAAGTTGCCACCACCCTGGCCACATGTTGCAGATGTGGGCAGGAGATGGAAGACAGAAGCCCTGATCCCTGATGTCATAGGTCGCAGAGCTACTTCTGGGTCCTTGCCCACCTGCCCTCTCCCCGAGCAAAACGAGAAATGAGAAAAGGACATGCAGGTATAAGCCCCAAGCAGCTGATTGCACCAGTAGGCCAAAAGTCAGAGATGGGCCCATTTTACAGACAAGCAAACCGAGAATCTGAAGTGAAACCTTCAGCCGGATGTCAGCCAGACAGGTATTACCAGAGGCGGGGTTCTCTCGCCTCCTGCCTCCTCAGCCCCTTCACTTAAACAGAAGGTGTTGCAAGTTATCCTTTGTCTGGGTGGTTCTGTCATCGCCCCCCTCAGGGGCATCCGTTACTCCAACAAAACATTCTTCACTGGAGACCCAGCCTGGCCCCACTGTGTCCCAGGAGAATTCTTCACCTCTGCGCTCCGGCTTCCAAATGTGAACAAGAGGAGGGGCCAGGGAGAGGTGGGTGGAGGCAGCGCCCTGGGTGCAGGTATAAAGTGCTGTCAAAAATCTCCTGGCTCAAGGTGAACGCTTTAATGCCATTTTCAAAAATCCACATGCAGTGCAAAAAAGAAAAATCCACAATGAACAAAGTGTCAGAATTTTAATCGTAGGCTCCAACTCTGCCCTTGCACGGCTCCGTCCGAACCCCTAGGCCAACTTCTAAACAAATTTGCAAAAACAAAGTGCGTGACCTGTGGGTCACAGTTGGTCAATCAAAAAAAAAAAAATGCCCTATCAAACCCTGGCTGGTGTGGCTGCATGGGCTGAGCGCTGGCCCGAACACTGAAAGGTCACTGGTTCAATCCCTGGTCAGGGCACATGCCTGGGTTTCGAGCCATTTTGCCGAAGTGCAGGAGGCAGCCGGTCGAGGTTTCTCCCCTTTCTCCTTCCCCTCCCATCTAAAAACAAATGCTGCGTTGAAATATTATTCCTCGGTGACTGAGATTTCGGCGCCCTGAGCCAATGCCCCACTCACCTCCTAGTCCCGGCTCTGGACGGCACCCGCGGGGAGATGAGTAACACAGGTCACGTGCTCAGCACAATGCCTGGCTCGGAGGAAGCACACATGTCGCCATGGCAATGGCATTGGGGCTCATCCTTTAATATCTTTGATGGGTACAGAATTCTGGGTTTATGAACTAATTTAAACATGTTTTATTCATCGATTTGGGAGAGAGAGAGAGAGAGGCTGATCAATATGGATTTGTTGTTCCAGCCCTTCATGGGTTCACTGGTTGACCCTTGTAAGAGCCCTGACTAGGGATCAAACCCACGACCCTAGGGAGTCGGGATGATGCTTTAACCAACCCAGTCACGGCCAGGACTCATCCCTTTTCTTTACGGAAGACATTGCATGTGGGGACAGACAAAAGCTTCGTGTTTTATAGTCCTTAGGAGGCAGCGAGACACCCCGCGCAGAGGCAAGCAAGGGGGTGTCACGTGGATGTTTGGACCCTCCCTGCAGTCTGCAGCGGGTCTGAGTCAGGATCCAGAGGGCCCAGCTGGCCCCGGGGCCCCCCCGGAACTCGCCCATCTTGTGCACGGAGCAGCACCTCCCTCGAAGGGAGCGCAGGAAATGCAGCGTTCTTAGCAGTTCTCCCGGCACTCGCCCACGGCCAGTCCCCCCTGCGGCTGCGGCTCGCACGCGACAGCCCGGCTCCGGTCACTAAACCTCGGCCCTCCGACTCACGGCCTGCTTTCTGTCGGTAAAGTTTTACTGGCCCATAGCGATACCCACCTGCTCACCTGTGATCGATGGCTGCTTTAGCGACTGTGGACGAGGTGAGCGAACCTACAACAGCCCAGGTGGACAGAGGCCGAGGCCGGCGAAGCGCTGAGTATTTACCGCCTGGCCCTGTACTGAGGAAGTTCTCCCACGCCCCAGGGCAAGCGACGTCAAACTGTGGCCCACTCATCCATCCATCAGTCTCCCTGTTCCGATCCACACCAGCCCCACCGGCAGAGCTGGGGGGAGGAGCCCTGCTCACCTGCTCTGCACCTGCCAGCAGCCCCTGGGCATCACCGGCCGCCCCCCGCCTCTCGGGCGGTCACCTGTCTCCTCTCACTCTCATCCCAGCAGGGCTAGCCAGCTCCCTCGCCCACTTCCCGAATTACTTTATAACGTTTTACTGGGACACGGACTTGTGCGTTTGCTTTTTTAAATCACCTACGGCTGCTTCCGTGCTAACAGCACAGAGTCTAGTCACCAGAGACCTCAGAGCTCCACAGTGCCTCAGATACTTGCTGTCTGGCCCAGAACCTTTCCCTGACCCTCTCCCTGGGAACCCCGACTTACTGGGTGACCCTGGGGTGGAGGGAAGACCCCGGAAGCCCGCACAGCTGGGAAGAGAAAAAAAGCCTTCTGAGAAGGCTGGTGTCTTTCCTGCTCATCCGAAGAGCTGTAGCAGCGGAGGTATGAGGAGTGTTTACGCGGTTCTGATCTCCGGGTTCCCACTTGGAGGGTCAACAAGCCGCCTGTTCCTGGAACAGACACGCCGGCAAGACACAGGGCAAGCAGCAGAAAGGTGCCAGCAGAGCCTGCACCACACACCTGCCTCCAGGGCCCCAACACTGTTCGGAGCCACCAGACACACAGTTCCGCAGCAACGTGGTAGTTAATGCTACCGTGGCGGGGGTGGGGGGGGCCCCCATTTTCATCCTTCCTCCTCACAACAAAGGGACTCTCGACAGCGTGGATCGCCTGCCTGACGGCCGACTCTGAGGGCATCGGACATGTTCAAACAGCAAAATGCGTGACGAATGATGCCATGTGCCCCTCGCTAATCGTGAGTGAGACGTTCCCCGGCATACAGCCCATAAACTGTGTTTTCACGTCCTCTACCCTGGTTTACCGAGACCAGGGGGTCTCTTTAATCTGGTTTAAGGGCACGGATTTTACGCTTGATGAAGGGCACACACGAATTTGTATTAAACAGAGACTGTATTTGAAAAGACGCCGAAGTAGAACAAACAGAGCAAGTCTGGACAGATTACGAAGCCACTGCCGTCCCACAGCCTCCTAAGTCAAGCCACATGTACACCTTCAAGAGGTTTGGATTTTCGCTTGTTGGCTGGTTCAGTCAACACCACGTGCTTACCGTGGCGAAAGACGCTGGTGTCAGGCTGTCCCACACAGCGCCGGTCCAGAACCAAGCCCAGGGCCGGTGGGGCCCCTAGTCTTTGCTTTACGAACACAAGTGACACACCTTGAGTCTCACAAGGCACAGTGACGGGCTGAGCTTGTGTTAGCTTGACCTTTGCTGCCACCTACAGGTCAGGCCGCATTTCCGGTCGCGGTGCTGAGACGGGAGAAGCCCTGCCCGCGGTGGTAACCACAGCAGCAGGGGCGCACCACACCCTGTCTGGGGGAGAAACAGGAGTGTCCGGTACATCCTTCTGCAGATGAGTTTGCCTTTTTGTTACAAGACAACCAACAAAAGGGACCACACAAAAACGTGTAAGGCGAACATTCTCACAACTACCCCCCGGGTTAGAACGAGACCCTGCCCAGGACCCAGCCCCGTCCCAGCCTTCCCCGCTGTACAGGTGGGTTGCGTTCCGGTGCCCGTGTGGCCCGACCAGTTTAACACCTGCATCGCGGTGGGGGGGGGGGGGGGCCGGGCTTGGCACAGCAGTCCGTCCTGAAGACGCCATCCCCTCTGGGGCGAGCGGTGATCAGCGGACCCCCACCCGGAACAACTGGTCAACGTGCTCAGGTGACGCTGGGGGGGGGGGGAGGGGGGAGACGGCGACGTGGAGCAGTGCCTCCGCGGCGCTGCTGTGGCGCCTGCCCTCACGCCGCAGCGGCTGCAGCCACGGCCTCTGGCGGCCTGCGCAGCGCGGGCAGCCGTGCCCTGAGCTGGTGACTGAAGTCCGGCTCGATGGTCTCACCCGGAGGGCCGGGCAGCGGCATCTGCCTGGAGTCCCGGACGGCTCCCCGCCCTCTCTGCACGAGTCAGAGGCACTGGCTGGGCTCCGGGGAGGCGTCCAGCTGCCCCACGGAGACCAGGGCGCCGAGCTGCCCCGACGCGCCGCTCTCGGGCGGGAAGGTGACCAGGTCCGAGTCCTTGTTCTCACCGTGGTCGCTGTGCTGCTTCATGTGGCACCTCAGGGAGTCGTCCCTGACGAAGGCAGCCCCACAGGTCTCACAGCGGAAGGCCCTCTGCGTCACTATCTTGGCCACGTGCGGGGAGCCGCTGTCCCGGGGCCCTTCGCTGCCCTGCGGCACCCGGTTCTCCGTCTTGGCCTCGTCCCTGTGCACCTTGTCGATGTGTTTGGCCAGGCTGCTGGGCCGCTTGGTGTCGAAGCTGCAGAAGTCGCACTTGAAGGGGCGGTCGGTGCAGTGGACCCGGCTGTGCACGCGCAGGGCGGCCGCGCTGGAGCAGGAGTAGCTGCACTCGGGGCACTTCTCGGGGTGGTCGGCCCGGTGCAGCCGGCTGTGCTCCAGGAGGTCCGCCCGGTCCCGGCCCTGGAAGGCGCAGTGCAGGCACTTGAAGGTGTGCTTGATGCGGACGTGGGACTTGAGGTTGGCCTTCATGGTGCAGCGGACGTCGCAGAACTCGCACTTGAAGGGCTTCTCCCCCGAGTGCACGATCATGTGCCTTTTCAAGTCCGAGCTGATTTTGAACTTGGCGCTACAGAGCCAGCACTGGAAGGGGGTGTCCCCTAGCAACGGAAGGTGTGTTTCCATTAGAGCAGGCAGGCAACACAGAGCTCCCCCCAAGCACGCGTCAGGACACCTGGCCGCAGAGAGACAGTGGGGTCTTCTGAACTCCAGCTACCTGCTAGCCTCCTAGTAACACCGTTTCCCAGGTACAGTATTAGCTCGCTGAATCCTCACAAGAGTCCTGTGAGGGGGTACAGGCCCCCTATCTTACAGAGGGGATAACTGAGGCTCAGAAGTCAAGTTATTGGTCTAAATAGTGGGGACATGAGCCCAGGCATCGTGGCATCCAAGTCCATACTCTTCACCGGGGTCACTTGGGTTTTGATTCTAAACCCCCATTTAACCCGACATCCCCAAAACTGAACGGGGAAGAAGGACGAGGTGCATACAATGTTACAAACAACTGCTCCAAATCCAGCTCAGATTCAGAAACCCGCTTCCTCTAGCGTTTAAGCCAATTACATTGGATACTTGGCTTGTGTTACTAGTCAAAGTGTCAGTTTTACAACCACAAGACTGAATTGTATTTAGGAAAGTAACACAATTCAGGGCTGCAGGGGACCAACGTTGAAAAGCCAGAGCCGCCTCCGCACCCCTGGAGGCGCTGGGAAGGGTTTTTTCAGGTCTTTGGGAGGTTGTTACTTTATAAACATCGTCGGCAGTGACCACAGGCCAAGATGAGGCTCCTTTACTCACGCTCCGTGAGCGTCCCGACCCCCTGCATTGCTGCCTGCGATGTTATCCTTCCAGCATTACCTCTAAACTGGGTGGCAGCCCCACAACTTTCAGTCCACCAGCTTAGGCGGCTAGTTCTCGGGACTCCCTCCTCTGGTCAGAAACAGCTCCATTTTCACATTTCACTTCAGTAACACTTGCATTGCAACCCCTGACTTCTCGGGCCTGAACTAGCTGTTTGCAACGTGAGAGTCAAGCTCCACCAAGTCCTCTCTTAACGTGGTCAGCGGGTTCTTTGACTTTAGGCGGAATGGCGTATAATATAGAGACCAACTCCTGCACGGGCTACAGAGCTCCGCTCCCGTCAATGTCGAGTGAAACAATGTTATCAGAGGACCTGCTGCAGAAGTAAGTTATGTTACAACTGGGTATCAGAGCCAACGACTGCGCCAGGATTGTGTCCCTCCTCCTTCAGGGTCACTGCCACAGCTGGGCCAGCTGACCGTGTTGCTGCTAGCACCAAGGTCAAAATGGATCCTCTCTTCCTAACCTGCTCATTTCGGGCCCTGTTTTACCATGCACGCTCCTTGACTAGACTGGGCATTTCTTGAGGAAAAAGGATCTCATGATGATCTCTACTTGTCCAGCCTCCTAACTACGTAATAAGCAGTAACATGGGATTTCTGACTTGCTAATTCTTTTCTCTTAACCTCCCACACCAGTATCATCCCGATGCTTCCCTTCATTGCAATCCCAGTTAGCGACAGATACCCCCACATCACGTCCAATGCTTTCTCCCTTCTTTTGCTAGAGCTGGGCTTCTAGTACCTTCCACGAGAATGGTGGCTTAGAGAAAAACCCGAGTCCTTGCATACACCTGTGTCTATTCTGCTTTCCTACTTGAAAGAGTCTGGCCGGGCATAAGATTCTGCGCTCAGAATGATTTTCCAGCTTCGAGGGCACTGTTCCTTGGTCTCCCGGGAGCCACTGGTACTGAGGAGCCCTCTCGGGCACAGCCTGCTCCAGCCACCGGCCGCCCTGGCTCTGCGGGCCCCGCGGGAGCCCTCCCACCCCCACGGCCCCTTAGAATCGTGAGACTCTTTTCCTCACCTCATTCTCTCACGTCTGCTTTCTTCTCTGCCTAGAACTCGCCAGCGATCAGACATCCAGCTCCTCATTATTTTTTAGTTCTCCAACTCAATATTTTTTTTCTTGATCTCTGAAATTTTTTTTTTAAACTTTATAGCCAGCAATCCTAGTTTTCATTCACACCTCTTTGTTCTTACTGCCTTTTCATAAGACCACTTCTGGGTTGTGACATTTCTGCCAGTGGGTAGACACCAATCAGAACTGAAAAACTGTTGTCTGTCGCCCGAATGCTCTGTTAGCAACTCCGGGAGCAGCTACCTGCTAGACTCGGCGCTTTTGATGCCACCGTTTCCCACAAATGACGCCGAGCCCACGGCTGACAGTTTGTGTAGGAAGAGTGGGCTGGTGTAAGGATCAGACACAGGGGCCACAGGCGGCACCTGCTTGGGAGTTGGGGCCACTCTGCCAGCAGGCTTCGGCTTCTCGGAGCTCCGTGGCCCCGGCAGGCTACGAGCCGGTTCCGAGTCCAGAACGCTCAGGACGGCCGGACGCTGGCCGGACCGGCTGCCTCCCCTTTGTCTGTCGGGACAGCTTTCTCGACTCAGTTTTAGACACCAGCATATTTGCTTCTGCTGGCCGTCTTCCACGAATTCACGGAAAATTCTCATTTTATGAACCTCCTTATGGGCCTCCCAGCCCCCATTTTCTGTACCACCCGGGCTGGCTGGGCCTGCCCATGGATGGACCGTTATTTCAGTGGCGCCTCACAAAGAAGAGCAGAGACTTTGCTCTTTGCAAAGTCTAATTTCTAGAACTAGAAGTGTGTGAGCTGCAGTAACACCCAACTGATTCTGCTACGTGGTTCTGAACTAGAAGCTGTGCAACCAGCGTTCAGGTGAAATGACCGAAACACCCACTTTACACACCGGATCACTCAAGACACCTCTCCGCTTCTCGACCGCTGCACTGGCTGCTCATCCCCCACTGTCAGATTTTCAGGTTTTACTAAAAACCACTGCCCCGGCACACGAAAAAACACACAAGCTTCACAACCACCACAGAGATGTCCAATTTCTTAACCACCACGTTATTCAACTCGCTTTCGCTTCTGGTACCCGAAGGCGGAAACCCTGGAGACCGCGCCAGGCCCCGCGGTCTCGGGGCCAAGGCCTCACCTGTGTGGGAGCGCAGGTGCACGGTGAGCTGGCTGGAGTTGCGGCTGGCGTAGGGGCACAGCTGGCACTGGTACGGCCGCTCGTCCGAGTGGATGCGCAGGTGCTTCTTGAGGCTGCTGCTGTCCACGGCGGCGTAGTCGCACAGGTGGCACTTGTGGGGCTTCACGCTGGTGTGGCAGCGCATGTGCATGGTCAGGTTGTCCTTGCGGCTGAAGCACTTGTCGCAGAACTCGCACTTGTGGGGCTTGTCTCCTTCGGATACACGAGAGAGTCAGAGTTTTACGGGCTGCTCGGGAAGGTGGCCACAGAGAGATTTGACCTAAATGGTAGCCTGGGCGCATATGGGTTGCCTCTTCCTGCTGCCCCAACGCCCGGACATAGAGACACTGGACTCTAGATGATCCCCCGGGGAGGTGCGAAGGCCTGCCCTTCACAGAGGGGCCGGGAATGATGAAGAACCCTCAGGGACTGAGTCGATAAAAGCCAGGCTGGAGGAGAAAATCACAGGCCAAGCCAGCCCCATCGGGAAAATGGGAGTGGCCAGATAGCACTCAGGATCCCAAGTGGCAGGTCTCGGGGTCTCGGAACAGCTGTGGGGCTCACTAGTTGAGGGACCACATGAAGAACGGTCAGTGGGACCCTCCCTTCCCTGCACCCACCCGCATGCGGCGGTGGGTGCTGCTCCCCCACAGCCTCCTCGCCCCCAGCTAGCAGGGAAGGAGGGTGCTCAGACCGGAGAAACGCCGCGAAGGCCCCAAGCAGCTAGAGACACCCCGGGAGAGAGAGAACCCCACGCCCAGAACACCTTCACCAGATAGAGCGTTCCTCTCCTCCCCTACGACCCCTGAGGCCGGTCACGTCCAGATACAAGTCGTTCCGCCCAGGGACCAATGCTCGGGGCAAGCCGGAACCGGGGACACGCCTGCATCCACTCAACTCACTGCCTGGAGAAACGATTGACCTTATCGTGGCGGACACCTCCATCGCCCCCGAGAATTACTTTTTCGGTGGTGAGAACATTTAAGATCCACTCTCCTGGCAACTGTCACATAGGTAGCACACAACACAGTCTTGTTCACTACAGGCGCCAGGCTGCACCTCGGATCCCTAGAACATACTCGCCTTGTCACTGGAAGTCTTGTGCCCTTGGGCTGGTACCTCCCCATTTCTCAGGCTGAACTTGTAAAGACAAAGAGCAGGACAGGGTTCTGGGCGGGGCCCGAGACTCTGCATCTCTAACATGTTCCCAGGGGAGGCTGACCTTCCTGGTCCTCGCCACACTTTGGGTCGCCAGGGCTCAGTTACTGAAACACCACACATCTAACACTTCGACAGCAACTGAGCTGAGGTGTAGTTTTTAATGTGATTTAAGACGTTTAAAAACATGCCGGGAGGAGTCCGAACGCCTTACGGAACTGCCCGGAGTCCACGGCAGACAAAAGGCCAAGAATGCCTGTATCGGTCGTGTTCCTGATTCCAGGCAGAGGCCGCCCCACCCTCATGCACAGAGCTGTGGCCGACCTGGGGGCGGGGCGGGGGGGAAGAATGACACCGGGACACAGCCTAATCTATACCCCATCGGCTTCTGAGAAAACCCGCAAGTGCAGCGAGCACTGCGGGTGTGTCCTATCAAATCTCCTCGAAGTGCTTCCACATTCCGTCACTGTTCCATAACACAGCGAAAGATTATTAAAAAAAAAAAGCCTCAACTCACTTCGTGCAAGATTACCTTGGAAATCAAAGCCAAATGAAATTACACAGAGTGATGTTAAAAACACAAACAGGCAAGTTGCTCTCCTTCGGGAGGCTAGATAAATCCCACAGGACCATCTTAAGAGGAGCAAGACGTCTGACGTCCGGCCACCATCCCTGACTGGAGATGGTGACGTCAAAGCATTCCTTTTAAAGACTAAGAGGGGGCGGCTCGCTCTTCCTGCTCCTCTTCCACCCAGACCTGCAGACCCAGGCACTCAAGGTCAAGTGGGAAGTCAGAACTCGGAAAATCCAAAAGAAAGACTTGAGCAATTAAAGTAGACAAGGGGATGGCAAGGGGCCTGGAGAGAAGCCTCGAATCCTCCTGCAAGTGGCTTTGCTTCCCTCAGCGCCCCACCAGGTTCCTCCCCATGACCACACCCCGAGACGGCCACTGTGCTGAGATGTAGTTTTTTAATGCGACTTCACCACATTTAAAAACATTCTGGGAGGGGTCCGAACGCTTTAGGAAACCGCCCGGAGCCCACAGCAGACAAGCGGTCAGCCCGGGGGTGGGGAGGAGGGGAGGCAGAGTACGGCGACGGTCAAATCCAATGCCAGGTGACACTGGTGTTCTGACTCACTGGGCTAACACAGCCCGCCCGGCAAAAAGAACACAGTGTTTGTGTTGCATTTCACTTTGCCATGCACGGGCTTTTCATGTGAATGCTGGCATTGACATCCTTCCCACCGGGTCGTCTTGGACTCGTAGGAATACACGCGTGGGCTGAAGATTCACTCTGGCCCACGTGGCAGATTTCTTCCTGTGGGACACCTGTCTGAACTTGGTGTCTCGTTGTAAGTTTTAACTCAAGTCACATTGGCCTGTCTTTGTGGTTTTAACTGTCCACTTACACCACGCATATGCCCTACCTTTCTGAACGCATTAGAGACTTCCATACCTAACTTCCTTCCTGCGCTTGGAATTGGTGACTGAGGAGGGGAGAGGCAATGACCTTCGTCCGGACACTGCACCTCCGAGCTCACCTGCGCCTCCTCCAACCCGAGGTGCAGCCTTACGTTTGCGCACGCACACACACACACACACACACGGGGGTCTGTTTATGGAATCTGTTCCATGTCTGTTTCTTGCAGCTGCTGCATTACCCTGTCTGCCTTACAGCTTCACGGTGTTTTAGTTTCTGGTAAAGCAAAGGGCTCGCTGTCCAGGGTTTCTGGGTACCTTTGCGCCTTCTCTTCTCTCCCAGATGGATTCTACTCTCGGGAAGGCGGGTGGGATCGGGGCATGGAAGCAGAGGGGGCAAAAACCCTCGTCCTGTTGTTGTTGGCTTTCAAACAATGCCACGCAGTCACCTTTGAGTGGGATGGGGTAAAAACGTGAAGGAGCAATATATGTTCAATGTATAAAGCCACGAGAAAATTGATGCTGTTTTTAAACCTATCCAGATATTTTACTGTTTACACATTGATTTTTCTGTAGCTTCTTGCTTAAGATTTTACCTGGAGGAGAAAATAGAAATAAAGCATTTTCTATCCTGCTCCTCCTTCCTCTACTCCTCACTCTGTTTCTATTGTGCATTTGAGTTTAACTTTCTTCCCCCATCACAGACAGTCTCGAATTTAAGACATAAATATACATCTATACGCCCCACCTCGCCCCACATGACTTTAGAACACAGGTTATAAAAAGACTGAATCCAAGTTCAAGGCCTGATTCTCCCACGCTCCCCAAGGAAAGCTGAGAATGAGCCTGCATCTAGGTGCACAGACGCCTGTCCTCAGCCACTCCTGTACCTGCCTCTGGCACCCGACCTCTCCGGTCCTCCAAGTGCAGTCTGGGAGTCCTCAAGACTCTTCTGGAAGAGTCTGCGGTCAAAAGTATCATCACGCTCCCACCACGACAGGCTTCGCCTTTTCCATCGTGGACAATCTCACGGACGCAGGAGCAAGGGTGGGCAGGTGTGCTGGCACCTCAGCCCTTGGGGCCTTCTGGGCCCCGCTACCCAGGGAACAAACAAGGGGGGCCGGTCTCACCGTCTGACTAAATCTCTCCCCCTGAACGGGCCTTCTCAACGTCCAGTGACGAAATGGGAAGTTCGCAGAAGTGGCTTCTGCTGCAACCCACGGGTTGTCTTCAGAACGAGCGTGGTGGCTGGGCAGGGGGCTGTCACACTGCCCACTGTACCCAGGCAGTGCCCTTTCGACAAGGACAACGGACAAACTGTGGTTTTTCCTAGATCTGCAATTCGGCAGAACTGGCTACAGGAGGCTGCCACTTCAAAGCGAGTGGCCGACACTGCATCAGCGACGTGTGGGCTCTGGGTGTGAACAGCAGGGCTGGCAAAATGCCGGTCTGTGTGCAGCTTCCTGGTTCTTAGTGGTTTGTTTTTGTTTTTTAAAATGAGATTAGTAATATTAAAAGAGATTTTTCCCTGCGGGACAGTGGCATTTGGAAGAATCACCTCAGTTGGCGAACCAGCGTTCTCCAGATGCTCAGCGCACCGCACTGTGCACGAGACGCCAGAAACCGAGAACCTGGGTCAGCGCGCTCAAAGTGGAGAGCAGACCCGTGGGTTTCAGCTTCACAGTCGGAAAGTTTACGGATCTGCGGCTGCAGGGTCTACCCAGCAACTAATCGTTAAGAAACTACTGTCTGCCGGGCTGTGACCTAGCACCACAGAATAATAATGGTCTGAGAAGGCTGTCCACACCCCTCCACTCCAATCACATGCAGGGTGGGGCACAAATAGGTCTGCGGTGGTTCGTGTGGAAAAGGATACAAGTTAGTCAATAACAGCACAAGAATGAACTCTGTTTCCCGTACCCACAACTGTAACCTGCTTTTGTCCACCCTGTATGTGAGGCCAGACGCTCTTCCCAGGCGTCAACCAAAATGACACAACAGTGGACCGTGGACAGGAACAGCCGTGACCACGCAGCCGACTAGTAAGACATGAGCGATCTGCGAAGGTATAAACAATACCACTTTCTGGTTCGGAATAGAAAATGGGCTTACTGTTATTTTTTTCTAATTGTTTAGGTTTCCCTATTTTTTTTTAAGATTTTATTTATTTTTAGAGAGGGAAGGGAGGGAGAAAAAGAGAGAAACACCAATGTGCAGTTGCTGGGGGCCAAGGCCTGCAACCCAGGCATGTGCCCTGACTGGGAATCGAATCTGCGATACTTTGGTTCGCAGCCCGAGCTCAATCCACTGAGCTATGCCAGCCAGGACGCCTTACTGTTATTTTTAAGCGAATAAATATTTTAAAGTTTCAGATGGCTAATGTTGCAACTACAGATAAAATAGTGGGTTGAGAACCACTGTTCTACTTATTTGGCAAAGATTTGGGTTCCAGCCTTTTTTTTTGTTTTAGGATTTTACTTATTTATTTTTAGAGAGAGGGGAGGAGGGAGAAGGAGAGGAACATCCATTGCTTGCCCCTGGCAACCCAGGCACATGCCCTGACCAGGGGTCAAACTGGTGACCTTTTGCTTTGTGGGATGACGTCGGGCTGAGCCCGCACTGATCAGGGCGGGGCTCAAGTCTTCAACCGTCACCAACATGCCCTGGCTGGGTGGCTCAGTTGGTTGGAGCATCATCCCATCCAGCAAAAAGGCTGCAGGTTTGACCTAGGCCTAAGGATTGAGCCAGCAACTAATGGGTGTTTCCCCGCTTTTCTCCCTAAAAACCAAGCAACCTATCCTCGGATGAGGATTTTTAAAAAATAAAGATCTCCTGGCCCTGGCTGGTGTGGCTCCGTGGACTGAGCGCCGGCCTGCGAACCGAAAAAGGTCAAGTACACCCACGTGGCCACCCTGCCTCCCGCTCCCAGCTCAGGGTCGCCCTTTTGCCTACGTGTCAGTTTTCTTTCCCGGTGGGAGAGCCTTCTCTTTGTAGCTGCGCACTTGGCCGCGCGGATTCAAGGGTTCGTTGGCCCACGTGACGTGGGTTAACATGTCGGGGGCGTCTTCGAGGTCGGCGGCAGCCATCTCAGACCGCGCCGGGGACATCTGCCTCGCTGGGGTGTCCGTGAAACCAAATAAGCGCCCGGTCCCGGAAGCCGTGGGCCAGCCGCCGTGCTTAATTCGCACCGGGTTGCGGGGCGGAGGCGGGCTGGGGTTATAAGCCACCATTGGTTGGATCTCACTACGTCACTGATCGCAAGGGACACTACTTCCGGGTCACGTCCTGAAGGAGAGATGCTGTGAGGGTCCCAGCCCCTGCTCCTACTTTTCACTGGCCAGGAGACTCGGAGAACTGGAGGAGTTACCGCGGACGCGGGCCCAGAGAAGGGGCCTGAGTACACGTCTATTCAAGGAGCAGTCTGTCTGCACCCCTCCCTTCGTGCACCCACCAAGGACAGGGCCTTGCCTACGCTTTCTGTACCCCCACCGTGCTCTGTGTTACTTCAACAAAATATCATTAATCCAGCTGCTGCGTCTCTTTCTCGGCCAGGGCCTGACAATGCTTCCGACAGCGCCTGCCTGTGCACTGCAGAGTTCCGGCAGCACTTCGGGCCCCCACCCACTAGATGGCGGTAGCGCGGCCGCAGCTGAGAACAACTAAACCCGCCCTGTTTACGAGTCTCGTCTTCGTGCAAGTGGCTCCTGCAATTCAAGTGGCTCCTGCGATTCGCACAGCATCGTCATCCCAGCAGTCTTGTCTTTCAAGGTGAAGACCGACCATTCCTTTCGCTAAGAGGCTTTTCATGGTCCACCCTTCCCGGGGAGAACGGACTCTCTGTTCTCTTATTCCCACAGCACCATGGCCCCTGTCCAGAAAGCTGTCTTAATGATGGAGCTGCAGAGTTTGAGCTGGGCATGTGGCTGCCTTTCTCGAAACCATTCCCCAGTCCCCCCTCGTCCACCCCCGCCCCCCAGATGCTTTATGTGGCCAGTTCTAGGTTCAGAGCTCACTGCTCAGAGCTCACTGGCCACAAGGTTTGCTGCTTCTGGGGCTAGAGGGAGGGAGGCCGGAGCCCCTCCTCCTGCACGTCCCCTTCCCACTGGTTAAGGAGTCCAGACCCGGAGATGAAGCGCTACGTTAAGGACGACAGAGCCAGCCTACCAGCTGTGGACTGCTTGCTGCTTAAGCTGCACCTGGGAGAAACGAACCTGATAATGTTTAAGCTGCTTAGTTTGGTTTCTGTAAGAGCCAAACAGACCGGTATCCTAACTCACGCAGCCTAGCACAGGTCTACACTAGAGACAAAGGTGGGCCAAGTTCTGTAAAAAGCCAGAGGGTCAGTATCTCGGGATGTGTGCACCATATTGCCTCTAGCAACTGCCCAATAATGCCCCTGCAAGGTCAGTGCGGCCACAGACAGCAGGTGGACAGAGGGACGAGACAGCCCCGGCCACCGTGCTCGGATCCCGGCTGCCGATCAGGGGAAGTCCCTTCGCTCCAGCACCTCTTCTCTCTCTGTCCTGGGCAGCTGGTTGCAGCTTGGAAGGCACCTCCAAGAGGCAGCCTCACTGCTTTTCTCTAAGGCTGCTACAGCCACAGCCTCGTGCAGCCCTCCCTCTGACCACCTCTCCAACTGCATCTCACGCCTATTTAAGAAAAGGGGAAAAAAACCATCTCAGTACATTTCTGAGGAGCAGACTAGCTAGCTGATCAGCTCTGGGTAAAGGTTTCTCATTAGGTTATAATAAAGACATTGGCTGGATTTGCAGTAATGTGAAGGCTGGACTAGGGCTGGAGGGTCCGTGTTCAAGTTCACGTACCACCTGGTACCCAGTTTTGCTCCTTCCGAGCCTTTGCACCTGCTGTTCCCTCTGCCTGGCACGCTTCCTTTTCTCCCATCTTTCATACTTCAAGTCAAGATTCTGTTCTTCAGAAAAGCCTTTCACGAGTAGCCTAGGTCAAATGCCTGTAATATAGGTCCTTTAGCAGTTTCTCCTTACCTGTTCATTGCCATTTTTGCCTGTTTGACCAAGTTTCATGAGGCAGAGACAGTTACCTGTCCTGCTCACTACTATATGCCCGGCATTTAATTCAGATCCCACCGCACCCCTAGTATTTTTGGTTTGTTTTTTACACTAAAGTTCTGAGCAAATGAACGAACACCTACCCGTGTGGATTCGTAGGTGGCGGTCCAAATCTTTCATGCCATGCACAGTTTTGAAGTGGCAACCTAGAAGAGAAAGAAAAAAACCCAGCTCTTCTTAGAATGCAACCTCAAAAAAGGAGATGCTACTATGAACAGAGGTTCCGATGAGTCACATGCTGAGCACTTGAGGGACCCACAGAGGACTTTTCCGGGCTGTGCGTGCAGAGAATCGCGGGCAGTCGGTGAGTGGGCCCACGCGGGGCCCGCCTAACGGCGCCCGGAGGGCTTGGCCAGCTCCCGCGTGCTCTTTACCTGGGTAGCAACAGTTGAACGTCCTCTCTCCCAGGGTGGCTGTCTGCTCCTTAGACTCGGAGGGAGGGGCTGCGACTGGGGCTTTCTGGGCGTCACTGTTGTCAGTGGAGGGGCACGTTGGTTTCGGAGCACCATGATCTACTTCCGAGGCTGAAACGGAGACAAAAAGAACTTTTGCTGAATTTCTCAGACGTGGCCACCGCGGCAAGCCTTGTAACAGCAGGTGCGTGCTTACATCACCTCCCTTCTTCGCCTCTCCAAAGAGGCAAACCAAACACACATTGAAAACCGATAGCCACGTGTGTTTTGGTCTCACAAATAGCCATCTTCCTCTAGCGACCCATTTCCAGGAAACAGTGGGGACAAAAGAACACGGTCTAATGGCAGGGACGAGCCTGGAGAGATCCAGACCGTAAACCTTTGCAAAAGCGCTCGTCAGACACCGAGTTTGTAAGATCGTTTCCGGTCCATCCCGGGCCACCGTTGTGTAAGAGGAGATAAATCACAAATTACGAGGAAAGTTGCAATGAGATGAAAATAGAAGCCCAGACGTTCCTCTCAGCGAGAACAGAAAGCTGCGTCACGGTGACGTCACGCTATTTTAAAATGCTTACTCTCGACTGCTGAGCGTGCTTTGTCCCGAGCGGTAACAGGTCGCAGGCTGCACGTCGACCCTCACTGCTCTCCAGGACAAAGCGCAGGTGTTTCAACCCGTGATGTGAGAAAGGGAGGGGACAGCCAGGGGCCAAAAGGCTTGACGTGATGGCCTATCGTGTCCAGATTTGGGTTCTGATTTAAACATACCGCAAAACCACTCAAGACAGGGAGATGCTGAACACTAACAGGAAGTTTCATGAGGGATTTTTTTTTAAGGTGTGAAGATGAAATTAGAATTTTAAAAACTTTCTCATAGTGTGGGGATAGATATTTATAAGCTGCACATAGGTCTGATTTGTTTCAAAATAATCCAGGGCAGGGGGACCGTCGTACAGAAGGAGCAAGACAGGTCACATGTCATTCATCGCTGTGGCCCAGCCACGGGTCCCTGGGGGCCCAGGGCGTCCTTCTGTTCGCAGTAATGTTGAACCACGTAAAATCGCTGTTTCCACGGGCCCAAGTGGTCAGACGACAATTTCACATGGTTTGATCTAACATGTAGTTTTAAGGACTTCTGTAACAAAGATTAAGTGATCCTAAAGCAGTGCTCTGCATGGCTGAAGTCCTTAAAAAAACAAAACAAAACAAAAAAAAACCTTGACTAATTTCTGAATCACAGGCTGAGGTCTGGCACTTGTGGCTTGCCCCAGCCACAGAAGGTCCATTCGACTTTCCTTCAGGCTGTGCCAAGGAAAGGACCACGAGTTGTGTGCGGCACAGGGTGAGGGCTTCCGTTCTAGGCACAGGGCTTGCTTCGCCCCGATATTAGCTGTGCGCTTACTGGCAGCTCGCCGAACCCTTCGGAGCCATTTACCGAGCTGTGACAAAGAGCCGCTGCCCCGTGTCGGGCCATGAAGAGAGGGACGATGTAAACTCTCAGCACGGTGCCCACGCCGGGTCCGCACACACTTCGGGAGAAAGGGCCGCCGCCAGCACGCCCGAGCAGCCCTGGTGCAGGCAGCCCCTCAGAACAGGGCCCGAACGAGTGACCCAGTGCTGTGGCTCGCAACTGGGGTCCTCCTGTCCCCAGAGAACATCTGGCAATGCCCGGGGACACTTCTGACGGCCGGGATCACGTGCGTGATAATGGCATCTAGCCGGTAGAGGCTGGGGATGTTACTGAACACCCTACGATGCCCCAGACGGCCCCGGTGCCTGGATCAGCACCATCTGGATTGTGGGTTAAATGTGAGTTCCCAGGGGGGTGGGGGAGGGGAGATCCCAGAAACCTGCCCTGGAAAGCACCGCCCAGGTGACTGTCATTGGGCTCCAGACCGCTGGCAGTCAAAGGGTGGTCACGGAACACTAACAGGGCCTGACTGGGAGCTAGTTAGCAAAGCAGAACCTCAGGCCCCACCCCCGACTCTGTCCCCTACAGAAGCAGCCCGCACTTGAACAAGGTCCCTCGGGGATCCCTCCGCACGTGATGGGAGCAGCACAGCTCCAAGCCCCGCTTCCCCAGCGGCTGCGCACCACACCGCGTCACACCTGCGTCACACCGGAATCACCCGGAGGGCTTGTTCAGAGACACAGGTGGTGTCTGGGCCCCACCTCTCCAGCTCCCGATTCAGGAGGTCTGGAGTGGAGCCCGGATTTTTTCTAACAAGTTCCCCGCTGATGCTGCTGGTCTGGGGACCACACTCTGGGGACTCCAGCACTGGGAGGACGGACACTGACTCAGAGGAGACGCTCAAGTTCTCCGATGACGAGGACTCACAGTTATCCTATCTGAAGGTCATCACTATGCCCTTCAGAGGAAAGCACACAACCTTGTAGTACTTAGAAATTCCCATTTTAAGAAGAAGCCCGTCAAACTCTTTGAGCGTCTTAACCCCACAGAAACCGAGAGAGAGGGAAAGCTGAAAGCTCAGGGAGAGGCTGTGAAGCTCACTGGTTTGGGGAACCGACTGGGAAGCCTGCTAGTGAGTTTCAAATTCCAGTTCTATCATTACCTGTGTGCCCCTAGGTGTGGTAGCTAAACTTCACTGGCCCTCAGTTGCCACATCTGTAAGGGGGGGATGTAGCCCCTGACTCATCGGTTTACATGAAGATTATTAGATTTAGCATCCGCGAAAGAACCGAAGCCAGCACAAAGTAAACATCGTGCGTTTTCTTCATTGGTGTGCATACATGGGAGCCAACACACTCCTGGAGGGGAAAACGCATTGTGCAAACTGCAAAAACAGGCAGTCGGGAGACAGATGGGTTACAGGTATCAACAAAAGGGTCCCATAGGTATCCCGGGCCTCCCAGGTAGAATGTAAGGGCGGGGCTCTCCTTCTCCTTTAGACAGATCCCGGGAGCCCACGCTCTCCTGGGAAAGGTATCGAGGTGGCGCCGGGGCAGACACCTTTCTGTCCTGAAAGGAGGGGGCACCCTGGACAGGAGCCACTTGAACACAGGGGGCGTTTTCTAACCCCTTGAGAAACTGCAGATGCTTATCGTGTACGGTTGTTTCCTTGCCCGAGTGACTTTACTTTTTACTGGTGGGGATTAACCCCTACCCATGGACTTGCTCTGTTACCCCTTCTCCACAAGCTACGCTGGTGGCAAAGCCATTTCTGAGAATGGCCCCAACTGGGGGTTGGGGGGGCGGGAGGCAAGCCCCGGGCTCAGCACCACAGACTAAAATACAGGTGGAAAAACGCACCAGCTGCAAGCCTGCGTTTTCTCTGCACTGACGGCTGGCTGGTGTTGTGGTGTGTTTGGGGGCATGATTCTGATTGTGTCCTGCTCCCCTGGGGGGCACCCCAGGAATGCACAATGCAAAACACCCTCCCCCCAACGCCTTCAAACCCAGGACCTGCGCTGTTTGCAGGAATAAAAAGAAGCCCACAGCAGGAACTTTGAAAAGCAGTGTGGGGTAATTCAGGAAGTCTTCAATAATCGCTCCCCCCCCACCCCAAGAGTCAACATCCCCAATAACTCCCCAATTCCTCTTTCAGAGGATCAGGAGGAGCCCTGGCCCCGCCCCAGAAAGACAATTCAGGTCCAAGCCACCTGCCCCCATTCTAGGCCTTGGACAGAGTGGTAGTTACGGTATTTTGGTTATGGTAATTCAGGCTGCCAAGCTTACTTTCAAATACAAACTATTAATCCGGGAGTGGCGTGGTTAAGCTTTTGGCCCTCGGCCACCTCCTTTGGAGTGTGTGGTCAGCAATGTCCCCGCTGCTGGGGGCCTGAGTCTTCCCGGAGAGGAGACCCAAAACCCTCTCCGCTTCCCTCCACCCCCGGCCAGGAAAATGCAGGGGAAGGGGAGAAGATAGCTGAAGCTCCTCTCCCCACTTCCTTCCTAAGAAAAGGTATCAGCTAACCACGGAGGGGGGGGGAGGGGGGAGGGGGGAAGGGGGTGGGGAGATTAAGTAGGAAGCTACGCCGTCTGAATCTGAGTGCAAGGGAATCAGACGGGGAAGCGCTTTAGAAATGCAGATTCCCCGTCCTCACTCCACCCCCGACATTCCAAGGGGTGGGGGTGCGGGTACCGGAGAGTAGCGGTTAAAATTGGACCAGTTAGCAAAGCTCCCGACCCTCAGGCACTTTGGAATCGGCGGGTGCAGGGCCCACAGGGTGGGAAATACTGCCGGGGTGTTAGGGTAGCCGAGGGTCTGTCTGCTTTGCCCCGACCTCCCCAGCCACGTGGTGCCCTGGGGGAGCCCGCTAAGTCTTAGCTGTGGCACTGTCCTGCCAGACGTCCCCTCCCCCTAACGGCCCCACTTCTCCAGGGTGAGACGCCAAGTCCGCAGGGACCCCCCCCCCCCCCCGCCAGGCGTCCCCACCACCTCTCCGACCTCATCCGACTCGCTGCAGGTTCCAGCCCGCCGACGCCCTCGCCTCTGCACTCGCTGATCCCTCGGCCAGGAACGCTCTTGCCCCGAGGCCATCTCCTGGGCTCGCTCCCTCACCACCTCCAGTTTCACTCGACGGTGCCCTCCTCGGTGAGGCCTGGCTTGGACAATGCATTTTAAAGCCCCCCGCCCCCCCCCCGTCTTCAGGCCTCCTGACTCCCTCCACTGCTTTTATGTCCCCCCAGCGCGCGCCCCTAAACACCCAACACCCCACAGCTTCAGCTCCTGTGCCGTCTCTCTCGTCCCTACTGGGCCAGGAGCTCCAGCAGGGCTGGGACTTTGTCCTTGGCTGCTGCTGTCCCTTCCCAGCACTTAGCCCAGTGTGCCCGCTGAGGCTCGGCCCTTTCTCAGACATTTCTCCATCCTCTAGGAGGTGGCCCTGCGCGCCGGTCTCAATGCCTACTTTCCAGGCGCTTGGCCCCGGCCCAGCGCCAGGGAGCTCGGGGACCCGAGTTCCGACACGCCCGGAAGACAGCCTGGGCAGGGGTCTCAGAGCATCCTCGCAGCGTGTTTGGGAGATGGCCCGCCGTTTACAAGCGTTTGGCGGCGGGGGGGGGGGGGCGGGTAGCGGCTGGAGGGGTTCAAGCGGAGAGCGGAGTCATTTACCCAAAGAGGATGAATTCACGGAGTGGGGGGAGGGCTCAGAGG